ACCTTCTCAGGAGTTTCTCCTGCCAGCCTCCTGATTACACCAGATAATGCCCAAATAACCCCTCGTGAGAACACGGCAAGAAATTATCAAAGGATTCATTGCCAGTTATTTGGGCCGATAATTTCTAACGTGGCTGTTGCAAAAAAAAAAAATCTCAGGATGAAAAAGAAGTGCCATACAAACCTAAGCCGGTGTTGATGTGCCGTAAATAAAAACACTTAATGTCTGAGGCAAAACTTATATGTAGCGCCCTGCCATCTGCATTCTGCACCACCCCTTGCATGAATTCTTGCTTGAGATTTTTTGGTTGTTGTGAACATGTCTGAGCAAATCTCCTGATGTGTTCTTCATATGAATGACTAAATCAGACCCTGTTGTGTGGATAATCTCCAGAGTTCAAGATTCAATCTTAGAAATGTTGCAACCCACATGCAGTATGGTCTATAAGTTGAGGCTTGGGGATATTTCATATATTCTCATACGTTTTTCTTGAGCAGTGACTCTTTGGAAGAAATATGGTTTCCCTGTGTTTGCTGGGTCTTGTATTTGGGAACGGTTTGTAAAAGACCAAAGTAAGGAAATCAAATGAGTCTGTGATTCTTATCAGACTGGATTGTCATTGCCATTAACTCGGGGACCAATATTTGCCCTCAAAAGGCTGTCATTAACCATTTAATAAAATATGCCTTGCTGCTGCTCGGTCAAGGAAGGTTCTGCGTTAACATTGCATTTAGTTTTTGGATAATTTAACATTATATACTTTTAAATGTTGGGAAGAGATTTTTTTTGTAGTACTGCTGCCTATACACATGCACGCACACACAGAAACTTCACATTATTTCGAGTGCAGACGCCTGCGTATATTCACAGATCGGGAGGATGTAAAAGCAGTTTTCCGAGTTGAGAAAAAGTGCAGAATGGAGGAGCAACCTCAAGGACTGCAGCAGTGACAGAACAGAAAGGAAGATAATGAGAAAGATAATGAGGAAGGAGAGAACAATAAATAGATGGAAAAGGACAATGAACTGGGAGAGAGTTAGAATCATTCCTGTTTCTATAGGTGCACACACACACACACACACACACACACTTGCCATCAGGCCTGTGTGAAGCAGTGTTAGGCAGGTAATGGCTGGGCAGGCGTTACATGCCCGCCTATTTTAAGCCTGTGTGCCAGCTTGTTACTTGACTCTGCTTTGCGCTTGGGTGTGAAGTGCGCCATGACATGTGTTCAGGAGGCGGGTTGATGCAAGAGGTGTGTGTGTACGTGTGTGTTCATGTTACACATATGCTTGACTGAAATTGCCTTTACTTTCTGTATACATTATGTAAATTGGTACATGGTCTGCAGCAGTCAACAAGGTTTCTGTCCATTTTCCCATTTGTTGCTGTTGAGCTGAGGACTTGTGAAGTAAGATTGTCACTCGTCTATTATCTTATCTGTCTGACCAGCCTTTCTATTCACCCACTTTCTTCTGTGTACTTCTATTTTGACTGGAGAGAGGGAGAGGTTGTTTAATAGAGAAAGGCTGCGAGTGAGAGCAATGGAGCTCACGGACAGAGATGGTGAGATAGGCAAAGCTAGGAAATGTGGATGCTGTGAGATAGAGCAGCAGGGATGTATGGGAAAAGAGACAGGCCGGCAGATAGGGAAATAGATTGGTGGCAGGGAGGGATGGTGATGAAGTGATGGAGAGTGTGAGGAGGAGGAGGATGTGTGAGGAGGGTGTCTGAGCGCGGCACAGTGGGGGAGGGAGGAGGGTGAGAAAGGGAGGGAGAAGTGGAGGAAATGGATAGAAATAGCTGATGCACTCTGAGGCTTACAGAAAATCAATAGCAGTCAAGAGGGGAAGCCACAACCCCCACCTCTCTCCCTCTCTCTCTCTCTCTCTCTCTCTCTCTCTCTCTCTCTCTCTCTCTCTCTCTCTCTCTCCTTCTCCCTCCCTTATGTTTTTTCCTCCACTCTTTTCCCATCTAAGACTCCCCCTCAATGCTCTCACCCTTTCATGTAAGTTTCCAACCTTGTCATCTTCTCCTGTACCTCCACTTTGCCCTCTTCTTGTCCCCTGTTTTCCTCTCCTTCACACCCCTCTTCATTCTCACTTCTCATCTCTTTTGCACCATTATTTCTTTCCCTCTCCTTCAAATGCATCCTCTACTCTCTACTACCGGTTGCATGCTGTAGATGATACGCCAGGGATGCGTTCATATTCATGTGTTAATTTTTTTCTTCAAATGACTAAAAGAGTGGTTGGGTGTGAGAGTAGGGCTGGTTTTATGTAGTCTGCAAACTCTGTCCATTCTTTATATTCAACCTATCGCTGATTGCTAAATCTTTTGTTCGAAATTCACCTTTTGTCAATCTTTCACTCTCCACATTTGTTCCATTAAACACACAGCAGCCAAATGCTGACTTGATTTGCTTCCACACATGTATTTAGTCAAACTGTGCTCTTTCATTATTTATACCAATTGTAACTTTTATTCCTGTTTTCATCTCACTCTTACACCTGGAGTTCTTAAAATCAATATGCAATATCTTGTGGTTAATGCAGCACCACTGTCATAAAGTTGTTGACCATATAGCAGTGATCATTATCTCAAGGTACTTTACATATAAGGTTGAGACCTTAAAAATAGAGAAACACAACAATACCCACATTTTCCTTTTCCATTTCCCTAACCTTACCTCCTTGGTGGAGGTAAGGTTAGGACCACAACACTTGGTGGAAGGATGCAGTATGGGTCAGGAAAAAAACCATTAAAGGTTGATGCAGATAAGGAGTATTGATGCAGGACTTTTTTGTGATTTTCTTTAGCAGCGAGATTGGGTTGTTGTCCATTGAATTTTTCTGGGAATAATTAATGGATTAAAATATAATTCAATAATGTCAAACATGTTTAAGGGACTGATATTTATGAGTGTGAGTATGCACTCTAAGTTCCATTCAAGTTATTGTTTTGATCCTCAAAAGTAGCATTTGATCTGTCATTATCTGAGAGCACTTGATCACAATCATGATCAATGTCTTTCAAATTAGTAATATAAATGAAATCTGTAAATACAATATCTTTGCAACAGGGAGTTTAAGGCGATACATGTCCATATTGTCCTTTGAATTCAGATCATTGAATTCAGTTCATTTCCAGTTTATGATTGTGTTTCATCAAACTCAGTCCAAAACTCTCTCCTTCTCCCTCCCTCTCCTTATTGTCTTTTCTTTGATTATTCTCACAGTTTTTAACATAAATCAACTCTAATGTTGACTTTGCTTACTTTGTGTTTGTGTGTGTTAGAAATATTGATACATTTCCTCTATTGTCCTAGAAGTGCAGTCTGACTGTGGCTCTTGTTTGCAGTTTGCTCAATAATAAGACAACACAAACACATAACCATAATAATAATACATATGAATCATGACAGTGACCTCTCAGCTAGGGCAAGGTGATTGAGTAAAAATCCTGGGCTGTGCAGAATCCCAGGTCAGCATAAATACTTTCCTTGTGGCTGTAAGTGTTGAAACTACATTGTGTTGACTATGCTGTGTGCAGTCCAACAGTGGACATGATGTCATCCAGGCATTTGAAACCTATTCTGTGTTGGGTGACTGGGCCTGAATCACTTGTCCCTGACTCAATTTACTGGACTCTCTGCAAGGGAGACCATAATCGGGGAAAGAGCTGGATTTTTGCCTATTGCGATCTGTAAATGATTGTTGTACAGAAAAGCTCCATCCAGCCGGCAAGTCCCATGAATGCTTCGCCAGTACTCTGTCCCAATTCATCACCAATAAAATAGCCTGTTAGCTGCTCTCTGCTATACTGTTAAAAACTTCACTTGCCTCAACCTTTTTAGCCCACTTTTTTTATACCTGCTCTTGGGATTAGAGTAAGAGAGGAACATCTTTTTTGGATTTAGGAGTTCAGTAGTGAACCTCTATACCTCTATATCTGCCTCTTCTTTCTCCTCTTTGTTGTCAATCGTAGCTTTTTTTTCCCAAACAGAGGCTTCGAGCAGGAAAAATCCCACAAACAAACACCCGAGATGTAAAATACTTCTAAAAGCCTGTTTTGCATCTATACCCCTCAATTTTAGCTTTCCTCATCTCTATCATAAAGGAAGCCTCATCGGGAAGTGCCCTTGGGAGCGAATACCCTTGGAGTGTATACCACTGCCACCATCTGTGGTGAGGACGTCCCCAGCTAAAGACATGCCCATGACAAGAGGGGAGGAAAAACAAAAGGCTGAAATAAATAGAAAAGACAATAAAAAGATGAAAGGTTTGTGGGAAAAACAAAAGAGTAAAAGTCTTAGCCGTGATGCAAGCTGCGGTATCATCAGAAAGCTTCTCTAATCCAGGATTACTGTGTTTATTTTGTGTGTGTGTGTGTGTGTGTGCGTACCTACATCCACTGCTTTTGATCTGAGACTAGAGAATACCATATGTGTTTGTCTTGTTTGCTATGCACACATGGTCAGAACCCCTTCTCACAAACATGTTGTCATTGTTTTTTGTTGTTGTTATTGTTGTGTATTAAAAATCCAAGCTGCATTCTGACATTAACAACAAAAGGATTAAATGGATGGAGATGAACTGGGGACTCCCCACAGTGCCTCAGTGTATAATGCTGTTATCAATTTCAACAATAGGTTTTACCAACATGTTGTTTATAATATACTGTAAAATATACAACACTGTATTAACTTATATAGTCACATACAAATTCACACTGTATTGTTCTACATGTTTCTAAATTTATAGATGAGCACAGTCTTGTCCTGCACAATCACCCAAATAATTGATCCTAAATTTAATTTCCGGCAGCCTGTTTGCTTGTTTTTTTATGCATTTGTCATTCCTTGAAAAGTTACAAAACATAGAACATGTAGGATCCTTAAGAAATTATTAAATATAATAAGAATGGTTGGTGCATATATGAAAGATGTTTTTTTTCTCTGTGTGACCTGTTGTTCTCTTTCCTTCTCTCTTTCTCTGTAGGGGCCTCTGGTGGATCCTACCACTGCTACCCAGACCATGCATATGGAGAGGAGAGTGATAAGGTGAGCCACACACTGTGTCATTGTTCACACCAGCGTAAAAACTGTATAGATGTTTTTGCAATATTTAATTCTCACACTCCCAGTGAACTAATGTTTGTTTTAAGAGAAGAGGAGGCCATGACCGGTCATGATGTTTAGTGAAATTTACACTGATGGACAGGTTGGGCTGATGCACGATGCCATGGCTGACAGCCATCAAGACGTTGAGCCCCCCCTCAAAATCCTTTTTCCAACATTTTGTCTAGATCTGTGCCAAAATTGAATGGGTTCTGTCTCGACCCATGTCCCATCCTTCCATCAAGTTTCAATAACATCGGTTCTGTGTTTTCTGCATAATCGTGAATGGTGATTAAAAACATATCCTCCTTGGTGGAGGTGCTTATTTACCCATTTATTATACTATTGATTAGGTAGGTTCTGGTCCGCAAACTATTTCTAACTTTTCAGAGTGGTCCTCATCAAGTCGTCAATATATCAAGCAAAAAACAAAACCTTTTTTATTTTAGGATATACTGGTGCTACTGGTTTCTCTATTCTAACATAATTGAAACAAAATAACGAAATTATTTTTTTCATCTGTTTCGTTGTATTAAATTTCAGACAGCAGCATGAGCCTCTATGTTAGTGGTGGCAAATTTAAAACATCTCCAGAAAACCAGAAACCAAACATTTTACAAGGGTACTTCAGAAAATGACAGTCATCATCACAAAGGAAGGCCTGATGAGGTGAACACAGGGAAGGAGAAGAGGGGTGGCAGGATGCTGAGGAAGGTGTTGCTGCAAGCGTGGAGGGCAAGAGGGGAAGGAGGGAAGGAGGCAAGGCCAAAAACAGGGAGGGGGTATTGCTAATGATTTCACCTCCAGCTGTGGGACTTGGTCAGAGGGAAAGAAGGGGGAGGGAGAGGAAGAAGCGAGGAAGGTAGAGAGGGAAGGAAGGGAGGAACAGTGGCAGAGGAAACAAAATGGGCTTTGAAATCTTGTTGATGGAAAGAAAATAAGTGGGTGAGAGTAGTGTTTGAGTGTTAGTGGAAGCATGTCTGCTAATATTAACTAAACCTAAATAACCATATTTTGTCAGTGTGCAAGCTCAGTTTTCTAGAGCATCAATGCTGGGAAAGAAAAACCTGGCCTCGGTTGTATTGTACTCTGTGGGCTTCTCTTTATTTTGGTTCCCAGCAATGACAGCGAAGCCACAGCAGCTGCTGGGCACAAAGTGTGTTTTAGTGTGTGTGCAAGTAGATGCATGCATATCCCAAATGTGGACACAGTAAAATAGAACATGGTAGGGTGTGTCTGCTCTCATGCTTCAGGATGTCTGTTCAGCCTGGTGTGTACTGTGCACTCAGTGGATGTGGACAGAGTGAAAGGGGATGGGAGGGTGTGTGTGTCTTTGTGTATGTGTGTGTGGTCGGTCTCTCCACTATGAGCACTGCAGAATGTGCTGTAATATCAGCCACAGAGCATTTTGCAGTGTTTCTGGGCCATGCTGGCAATCACTGTGTGTATCTGTTTGTGTGCACGCTGAGCTTCTGAGAGTCAGCACGGTTTTTTTTTCTCTATAAATATATTCTGTTCTAGATGTTTGCATATGTTCATAATAATCACTCCTTTATAGCATAAGGCCACACATTGGCATATTGCTGGAGGACACACCAATACACACTCCTTTGTCTGACACCACCTCCTTCGCACTAACGCGGGCAGACAGGCCCATCAAACTTTCATACTAATGGGCAATAGTCTGCATGTGTTAAGGCAGCCTGTATGTGTTTGTGAGTGTGTGTGCATGTGTGCGTCCTCTCTAAGAAGGTCTTGTCTTGTCCCCTCAGATTTCAGGCTGGGGTCTCGAAACGGACAGACAGAGTAAAAAAGGGGGAGGGAGCAAGAGGAAGACGGGACTGTAGAGGGATTCAGCTTATCTGATGGAAGGAAAGGGGGGATGGGAAGAGGTTGTGGAAGAGGGTGGGGGGAGTGTGTGTCTGTGGGGGGGGGACTATGTCAGGGTTGGAATGGAGGAGGCTGGCTCAGATATGAAAATGGGCACAGTAGATATCCCAAGGGTTTTGGGGTTGGGGCTAGGCTGGTAGAGGTTGTGGGGTGTTGGGTCGGGGGGAGAGAGAGAGGGGGGCTGTTGAGATGAACAGAGAGGTTTTGGGGAGGGGGTGAATCTGGTGCCCTCCATCATGTGTAGAAACGGGCATAGTCAGTGACTTTGTTTAAATGTTGAGTGTTGACCTTTTTGTGAATATGAAATTATTTTGTTTATGGTGTTTACATGAGTTGCTAATAGATTCATATTCATATTTATTCATTTTATTATAGTTTGTTATGGAGTATAGTCTGATTACGTCCGATGTTAGTATGCCATTTTTAAAACACCAACCTGCCGAATTAGTATAATGTTCGATGCTACTGTCTACCATTTTGTGTGATTTCTTTCTAATTTTGCTTAAGTTACATTTCCTTTTTAAATGTTTAAATTTCCTTTACATCTTCTTGTCAAGCAGTTGGTCTTGTTAAATGCCACATGTTCCAAAATGCTGTGTAAACTCAAATAGGAAGTTGTATGCATAATGCAACTAAGATCAGAATACTGCACGTCTTAATTTGATTATTGCTTATTCCGAGTATGACCTCATTCGACTTGAGATATTTCTAAAATGCTGTTAACACGGCAGGGGATTATTCAGACTTTTGACATAATCAGGTTAGTTTTGGAATATTGGTGTCCATGTAAAAATCTGTGTCCTCAATGTTGCTCTTGATAAAATGGGAACTGAAATTCTGCGGCTTGCAAACACTTGTGACTTAATGACCACCACCATATCACTTTTTTGTTTCTTCTTACAAAAACAAAGAAATGTTAATTTGTCTTTGCATGTTCAGGTCTTCTGAAAAGCTAGAGGAGCTCAATGTGTTTGAAACATTACAGAGTTGAATCAGACCAAAGCACTTTTGTCTTTCATGTTAGTTACATAGAGCTCTTTCTTTGCTTCTCGGCATGAACACTACCCCAATCATGTCCCTTTAAAAATTCTAAGAAGACTCATCATTCACTTAGTCAGCCAAACATCAAGGTTTTCTTTTTCTTTTTGATAGCTAAGTTTATTCAAATTCTCATTCTGAAGATAATTTGTCATGCCAAATTTTAAGTACCTGTGTTTTACAAAAGAACCAAGTTCACTTTCCTAAAGTAATTATAACTGAGTTAGTGACAACCAGAGAAATAGACTAAAGCCATTGTTAGACATGATCTGTGGGTAAAATCCGGAGAATTGACCACAGAGTTTACCCACAGTTTTCCTTTCACACATGCACAACACAGCGTGAGGTTCTCTGCACAGACGCATTCAAAACAGCATCAAATCCTCATCATTGAAGCGAGAGGTGGAGCACATGGGTACAGCAAGGAGAGGCACAATGCGACATGTTAACTCTGCTGCGGAGGTCATCTTCTTCCGGTATAGGCTCTATCACCACAAACTCTCTTGACATATTCATTGGTTTCTTCTATGCTTTTGAATTTTTTTTCAGTGAATCCAGCAAGGGATCCACTGCTGTGTTCACACATTGACTTTTCCAGGATTTCAACCAACTTTATACTAGGGGGCCAGGCAGAGAAAGTCAGTAAAACTGTGGAACATCTCACTCTGACATTTGCATTCACAGATGCACCACCTCCGAAGAAAATAGAGGGAACTGTGGTGTTCAGTGTATGTCTGAAAAAAGCATTAGTGAACAAAGGGTTTCAGAATACACCAGAAGCCATCCCAATAAATGTGAAGAGGAAAAATGTATTTTGAGCATGGAGCCAGGCAAGGAAGAATGATTTCAAATGGCTTTGAATGTGTTTGTAGAGGCTTTGTTGGTATCAGTCACCTTGGACACAAATGATCAGTCATTGCAATTTTCACAGCGTATAAAAATACACACACAGGCAGACACACTAAAATTTGTGGTGTGTACCCCTCCCTACGACCCAAATTTGTTCTGTCATTTAGGATCTGGTGTGCCCCACGGTCTCAACCGAGCTTCACCCTTCTTTCCTGTTATCCACACTCACTCTATCTCCACTTCTCCTATTCTTCCAGTTTCCTTCCCTCTCTCCAGCCCTCTACTCTATCTCGTAGTTCTCCCCAGTCAAGACCAAATGAAGTCATTGTTATTGTTTATCTTTCCCATAAGCTGCTCAAGCGTGGGTAACATCCAGTGCTACGAGCGAGCGATTAGAGACATCAGGGCACAGTATGTTCAATGATACTCAATGTTCTGGTTTGTTGGAACAGCAGATTCTGCCTTTAAAGAGCCTCAGAATGTATTGTTCCTCATACACTGAAGAACTCAACACGGTGGCAGCTCAGTTTGAATGTGAAGTTGCGAATGTCTGCAGGCGTTTCCATAACTTCCATTACTGTGTGTGAACTTCTGCAGCCTGCTCTCCAGCTGTTTCCTGTTAGCTATCACACTGGTCTCAAGGTTGCTGAGCTGTAAATGTGTGTGTGTATGTTAAGTCACAGCCGCTGAGTCATTTCGATCTCACTTAAACAACGGTCTACCCTACAAAGAGGAGGTGGTAGCAGGGATAGAGTGAGCAGGGGCGGGGGAAATATATGAGGAAACGTGCGTGTGTGTGTTTCTCAAGGAACCTGTGTGTTCATCAGAGCACCGCTACGGTCTGTGTGAGAGTGACTAAACTCTGACACATAAGTGTGTAATCTTGCCTCATCAAGTGCCAAGTGTGAGAGTCACTGCCTGACAGTAAGTAAAGTGACTCACAGATGAGTTGATTGGACTGAAACAAGAGAACATCCTAACTCGAGTGTAAACCTGGATGACTCCATAACCAGCAGTGTCATTGTTTTTGCATGTGTCATCGAGTTTTCTTACAGAAGAAGGAATTGGCCTAGCGATCCAGTCGAGGGTGTGTACGTATGACTCGCACATGGGCTTGTGAGAGCCTGCCTCGCGTTTTGTATTTCCTCACTCTGACAGGAAGTGACTTTGAAACCTCAGTGCCTCAAAATGCTGGTGGTGTAACATGGTTTCCTTCTCACACACACATGGACGCAAATGCATATGAGCATACTCACTGTGGACCATACAGGAAATGCCATGATTCACAGAGAACTTTGTGTCTATGCATTAGTATGGATTGTAGGCTACTGGGAATGTTAAGCATGGTGAAATTGATTTATTTGATATGAGTGCTATGGGTCACTGACCACAGTATCCATCTCCTCTCCCCCTCTCCCACCCATCTCCTCTTTCCTCCCCGTTTTCCACCTCTGCAGAGTGAGGAAAGCCCCAGTCCAAAGCGCCAGAGGCTGTCCAGTCAGTCCGTTTTGGAACAACTAACCTCATCCGCTCCCCCACCTTCTACGCCGTCTCCCCCCATCCGCCCCTGGGAGTCAGGGCCCCCGAGTCGGAGACAACCTCACCCCCACACCCACTACCACCAGGAGCGATGCCTCACTCCTGCTCGGCACAGACGCAGGTAGGGTGGTTTCTTGATTCCTACAAAGTAGTTCCACTGTGATTTTAAGTGAACCTAAAGTCCTAAATATAAAACCATTACTTTCACTCCATCTTTAGCCCACCGGCAAGGCGTCAGCGCGGCCGTCTATCCAGACCCACGCGTCATTTGCCTCCCCATCTGCACCCGTCCACCCAAGGCCCTGCACCTCGCCTGTCGCCATCCGGGCTCCAAGATGAAAATTACCACCACAACCCCCATCCCTCCACACACCAGACATACCCGACACACACACCCAGCACCTATGGTCAGCCCCTGACAGCTGGTGGTGGCGGGGCAGGGTCGGACGAGCCCCGAGCTTTCCACCCCCCTACCCTGTCGCCACGTCTTCTGCATCCAGCTGCTCACCACCACCACCACCACCTCCATCATCAGCATCAGCACCATGCAGCACAACAACAGCAAGGAGCCATGGTCATGGACCTGCATGAACAGGTTCGTTCAGAAAAGGTTTTCAGTTTTTGTATGAGATTGCCAGCAGATATTCTATGTGCTTGAATATGAGACAGTATATAAACTGTGGTGTGATTTCTCCTCAGCTGCAGCAGGCCAGTGTACCAGTGTCCTACACGGTGACCCCAGTCCCTCCTCACGGTCTCGCAGCACCTTTGTGTAGCAGTCAGCATCTTCCCCCTTCCTGTTCTTCACAACAGCAAGTCCCCGCTTGCAGCGTGGTCTTCAGCACTGGACAACACTACCACCCGGTGAGCAGACCACAACCGTGTTCAGTTTGTGTATGTGTCTGTGTGGGTTTGTTTATAATAAAAAAGTACACTTTGTGCCGTACAGTCTCTTCTGCTGCTTAGCCAAATAAAAAGGAAAGTGCTTGAGGGAAAGTGGGCACAAAGACATAATGACGAACAGAACATTCTCCTGATAGAAGAAGCTTGTTAGTCTTCCAGGTCTTGGCTGCCACCTTGTGGCAAGACTTGGAATAATTCGAGAAAGAATTGTACCTCATCACTGTGAGGAAATATGCATCTTAAACATTTCTCCTTTTCTCTTTTTTCTTGTCTTGTTTATCAATTTTCTAGATGCTACAGGCATGTTCAATGCAACATTTGCCAGTGCCCTATGCCTTTCCGTCACTGCTGACCGGTGACCCTCAGTTCCTGCTTCCTCCTCCACCTCACCTCTCTCACCACGCGCCTCACCTCCCCACACCCGGACAGTTCCTGCCTTTCCAGACACAACAGCCTCGATCGGTATGTGAAAGAACGTTTCTATAGTTCACCTGGTATTTAAACTTCAATTATTATAGTTATATCTTTAGTTTTATATCTTTTTGGCTCAGGTCCTGTCTCACCATAACACCTGTAATGAATTTGCCTTGATCTAAACTGTAGCGTGTTTGTTAACAGCCGTTACAGACGATTCAAAATGAGGTCGAGCTTCTGGGAGAGCAGCTTTCAGTGGGTGGAGGATTCAGCTACGCCCACCACCACCACCATCACCACCAGCCTCCCTCCACCTTGCCGCCCTCCACCCCACTCCAGTTTCTCTCACACCAAGACCCCCTGTCTCAGGAGCTTTTCACAGTGGTGAGTACATTCATTCACTTATGTGTTTGACCAAATTATTAAACCAAATTATATTTCAAATAAATTAACTTTCTTGTCTCCGTCTTCCTTTTCACAGCCCTATCCTCACTTCATGCCTCGCCGATTCACAAGCCGGCGCTACCGCTCTCAGCAGGCAGTTCCCCCTTCGCCCTACCACCCCAGCTTCCTGCCTTACTTCCTGTAAGTGTGTTTCCCTTCCTCTGGTTTATGTTGGAACTACAGGTGAATGCAGGTGCTCGAGTTGTGAGAATGTCACAGAGAGGTAACATACAATCTTCTTAACTTATGTTCCTTCAACCACAGGTCCATGCTTCCTGTGCCCCCAAATGTGGCCCCCACTATCAGTCTAGAGCTGGATGTGGACGACGGAGAGGTGGAGAACTATGAGGTAGGGCAAACTGCTGCCAAAATGTTCAACTAAGAATAATTTCATGTCATGACCCACATGTTCTTTGAAAAAGGAGACACCAAAGAAATCCACACAATTTAATTCTTACACACTTACACACATGCACCATAAGATAAAGCTATTCATATTGAATCTCAGCACAACTTGGTCTTCTAAACTTTTCTTCTCTTGTGAAACCTTCAGGCCCTGTTGAACCTCGCCGAGCGTCTCGGAGAGGCCAAGCCCCGTGGTCTAACTAAAGCCGATATAGAACAGCTTCCATCATACAGGTTCAACCCCAACAATCATCAGTCTGAGCAAACACTGTGAGTACCTTGTGTGGTGACGACTTTATCATGTGGGTGGTCGTAGATTAAGTAGATGTGGTTTTCCAATGTTAAATAGAACCAATCTGTCTTTGTCCAACAGGTGTGTGGTGTGTATGTGTGACTTCGAGACTCGCCAGCTCCTCAGGGTTCTGCCCTGTAATCACGAGTTCCACGCCAAATGTGTAGACAAGTGGCTAAAGGTGAGTGAAGATATTCAGCTATTTGGGTAACTGTAAATGTATCAGCTCATTACCATTGGGCTGTGACGGCTCAGTCACACTAGAACGTGACAGATTTAAATTAGTTTTCACGTCTTTTGAAAAATGTGTTTCTGGAAGGTTGGTGAGGTCACGACGACTCACACTGATGATAACTCTCAGTGATGACTACTCGAATGACTAACATGCTTGTCAGGTGTGATGTTCCTAGTCAGACACAATTGATCTCTGAGGTTGTTTCAACTGTTTCAACATCTTCATCTCTTAAGTTTATGACTAAAGGTAGAAAGAAAGAATAGTAAGCAGACAGTTAGCAGCAAAATCAGTGTGTATATGTGGAGTTTTTAATTGTGGTTACACCAGCTAAAAAGGTGATTAACGCCATTCCCGTTGCCTGAATGGGGGGTTGGGCTTTCTTCTGTTATCTCCTTGTGCTTCATGCTGGATGTCATCAACACATCAAAAACTGAAGAAGCTCTCTCCCCTCGCTGTCTTGCTAAAAAAGCAGATTGACCTGAGTGTCAATCCGAGCTGATTAAAACCTGTGCCTACAGCAGTCACTTGACCCGGGAGTGAATGCAGATTATATCCATTCCCATTGTAGACAAAAGCCAGATGTTAGTGGGTGTTAGTGTATTTTTGGACTGAGAATCATTTGGTTTAGTGATAGTAAATGGTTTGTATTTATAGAGTGCTTTGTCTTAGTCCTGATGACCACACAAAGCGCTTTACATTACAGTTTTTCATTCACCCATTCACACACACATTCATACAGTGCATCTATGTGCAGCATTTTCTTCATGAGAAGAGGCAAGTTGGGGTTCAGTATCTTGCCCAAGCACACTTCTTTGATTGATCGACATCTCTGATAACTTGTGATTCCTATTAAACAGGCATTGGTGTGACTGTTTATTTTTTAATCCATTGGTGATGTGATGGGTGTCAATTTATAAACATTAAACTTGATACTAAAAGATTGTGCAGATTTACTTTGCCCTCTCTGGCTCCTACAAGCAGTTAACATCTCTCTATTTTTCCTTCCTTCCAGGCCAACCGGACCTGCCCTATCTGTCGAGCCGATGCTTCAGAGGTCCAGCGGGACTCTGAGTGACCTCAGACCTCTGAGTCTGCACCAACACATTCAGTCTCTTGCTCCCTTCGATTCCCATTTGGATTCACCAACCAATCAGTGAACGTCTCTCCTTTAATAATACAGTATAAAACGCACACACTCTGCCACAGAACTGGGACCAGTGCTCTTTAATGCTTCACTCTTTGTCCTCCAGGACACCAAACTGTCATTCTCACATGGGATCAGCATTTATGGGTGTGGAAACTTTATACTGACTCATGCTAACTTGATTGCTGGACTTCCTATAGGCCTTCTCTTCTGGACTACTACTCTGCCTTCTGCTCACAGTTCCTCCTTTCTATGAATGGCCTTTACAACACACAATGACATGTGCAGGTGGACATATAAATGTGTATTTTTTAAACCATTCCTCTACGGAGAGGGACAGACAAAAAGACTGCTTTTAAAAATGTCTGTATAGTTCTACTAACAAACCCTGAGGGAGAATTGGCAGCCCAAAGATTATTTTTAATTTCATTGTTATTATTGTGGTTATAATTAAGCATTCACATCTTGCTTTGCAGAGTCATTTTTACAACACCTTATTTTCATTTGCATGTATCCATGCATTCCTTTTGTTGTGAGAGCTGTGTGTGTGAGGTAGAACAAAGATACTGTACACTGTGTCAAAGAGTCAGCTTCTTTGTGGCAGTAAAACTATACTTTTTCTCCAGGTGTGTGTGTGGTGGGTGCGGTGGGTGTGGTTCTTCCTCCTGTGGTATTTATACAGTTTGTGTGGGTACAGTCCATGGGCTGCATCCTAAATCCATTTTTTTCTCCACTCTACTTCAGATTAATTTAACTTCAGACCTTTAAGTTGAGGTTTTGCTCAAATGTCATTAAGTTTAGGAGCAGGAGTTTCTCCAGTCGACAGTGCTGTGTCATGATACTAGATGTTTTTATGTCACACGTTGTTGACACACTGTAGCACCACGGCTCCATCGCTTCACACCTGCCCATCTACACTGCTTTTCTGATGCAGTATTTCCTCAACACAATGAAACAAATCAGGACTATTCACCTGCCTCCACATATCCCCTAAGCTCTCCTCCGAGTGAATAGTTAGATATTACAGAGCTGATTAGGTGGATTCATTCATGGAAGCGGGCAGTTGAACATAGAGCGTCTGTACCCAACCAGCATTCTGTGTGTGTGTTGGCCACTAGAGATGAAGTGTTTTCTCCATCACTTACAGTTTTAAAGAGACTTATGAGGTTACAGTTAAATCTATTATGTTTCACCGGACGGCAAATCTGACACTTCAGCACTTTAATACGTAGATTTAAGACCAACACGCTCATTCTTTTCATTCTCAGCAAACCACTTTTCACAGTTTGTGTGTATGTGTGCAAAAACGTTCGATGCATTAAAACATACATCTCCACTTCAGCTTCTACAGTACGTTAATCCTTCTGTGTTCTCACTCCACATTTGTACATGTCCAGAAGTTCTCTTAAACTAAAATCTGTGTAAGGCCTATGTCAGCATGTCATAATTAACTCCAGGATGTTCACCTCGTGCACAGAGCAGACTCTTATGTAATTTATCACTATTTATCACAAGTGGTATTTTGTGTCATGATGACAAGCTAACATGGGCCTTTTCAGAGATTGTGTTGACAAAAGGGTGTTTTGGAAAGTTAAACCTGGCACCAACAGTCTTACATCTGAGATGCCTTTTTTATAAAACTTAATTCTCCAGGTACAAGTGGAATATATCCAGTGTCACCACATCAGACCAATACACGTAGAAACCAGTTTTAAATTTAAAGAGTATCCGTGAGAACTTTCAACTTCTACAACTCCTCTTCAGTGTTGTCAGTGTATAAAGTCATGTAATATCCATGGGAATGGAGGGAAACTATATTTTCTGTCATTGTTCTGTTTTCCTTTGGGGTCAAAGGTCATATTTGTGACCATATACATCCATTTTGTGTCTTAGGGTTGTTTTTGTGTTGGACAGTTTTCTGTTGCTTGGTACACTAGCAATTACCTCAGTCCCACTATTTATGTATTTGCAGAAAATGGTGCAACCAGTATGATTAGTGCTTATCAATTCATTTTGCTAATGTTTTCCATGCAAGTTGTTGGGTTGTTTGAACATTTTGTTTTTCCTTTTAAACTCTATGAAACTATCATTAAAATGGTGTCATAGTAGTTTCATCATGTATTATATCTGTAACCAAAATCATTTGAAGGCTTGTTATGATGATGAAATTTTTAACAAACATTTGTACATTTTGTATGAGAGTTATTACTAGTAATACTTTATTAAGTAGTGCAATGATTTTTTTAATCCCTTACCCCATCTTTTGGATTTCAAAAGTTGGATCAATAATAAATGTATAACATCCTCTTCTAGAAATGTTGTCTTCCAGTTCTTCATGTCTGTCTTGCCCTTTACTTTCCTCAGCACTCAAGTGCACAGCACGAATACGTGGTGTGTTGTTGTGGACAGCCCATTTGGTGGCAGTGTAGCTCTGTTTATACACGAGGCCCTGAGTCTCGTTCTATGAGATGTACCAGCTCACAAAACCAGTGACATTTATTTAGAATCAAATAACTCTTTTAAATCTTTTAACCTACTGACGCCATTTGCTGTAAGTCAAAGATGCAGCACATTGTATGCACCTTTTTATGCAAGACAAGTCCCCTACTGCTGATAATGCTCCTCTACAATACTAGTCCACTAGTGTGCAGGAACGATATAGGAAAAGTAGTTGCTCTGCAACGTTCAACTCCATCATCATGGCTGAGATAGAAGAGAGCACCCCCGAGACTCAGACGTTTCTTCTTCACCAGTGATGCTGCTGCAGGGGGTGGGTCTTATGTTACCCACCGGCTCTGACTGGATCAGTGAAACGACCCCCCCCCCCAAATTATGAACGTGTAACAGCACATTGTAAAAATGTAGTAGAAAGTAAATATATCTGCTGATACATGTAGTGAAGTAAAAGTGAAAAGAACTTGAAAAATAAATCTAGTTAGCCTATTGTAAGTACAGATACATGACATGATACAGACATGAAGGTACTAGCAACTAAGTAAATGTACTTCGTTATATCTCCTTACTGCTGTTCTCAAGCAATTTGTTGAATAGACAAAGCCTTTTGATGGATGAGTCATTGATGGGTATGATCTTTTAAATAAATGCTGGGACAAAAACCACTTCTGATCACATCATATAAATATCGGTTTGTATATAGATACAATAATATAATTAGCATATACTTTAGTTTTACAGAGGAGAAAGACTTATAATTGTACATAATCTTTCACAGGGTGAAATATATAATATAAGGAGTGAACAGAGAAACCTGCCATCTATTTCTTTATGAATTTAGTTTCAGTAACAAACAGATCTGGCAACAACTCTCACCTCAGAGTGTGAAGTTAATCCTTTTGCCCACACAGGAGCGCTTTGTTTTTCCCATAAGCCTCATTTGCATATTCAGGTAACTATCTGTTCCCCATGTGAGGAAGAAGTCAGGTTTAGGAACATAATTAAATCTGGCTCAGTGAGTGACACATCATGTTAAACTGGATGCACAAGAATTTTAATTTGATAAAGCTCACGGATGGAGGCCTCCAGCTTCCCAACTGTGGCACTCTGAGTACATCTGTCCTCACGATGCTTGGTGCACGACATGTTTGCAGCTTAAAACCTGGATAATTGAACTAACCTTTGTTTCCCTGTGCAATATGGCCGTCCCCCGCGTACCTTTCCGCCTGCTAAACTCCATGCCTGCCTCGCTCGCTGCCCAGCCCTCACCCCAAAACCTTCTCACCTCCTCTGCCCTCTGCCTTTCCTCCATCCCCTGCCTCGCCTGCTCACTCCTCCACGGTCAGTCCCCTCTCAGTCCATCTGCCGTCTTCCCCTTTGCCCTCCACCTTCACCTGCTGCAGCCCTCGCCAGATTTAGTCACCTAAATATGTGTTCTGAATTTGGGTTCACTCTTGAAACAAAAAAATCTCATTTAGCTTGAGCTGACTACTGCTACATTTTCTCAAAGTTAGTAAAGTACCTATCTTATCTTACTTTTTCTTAGTTTGAAACTCTAATGTCCATATGGAACCACAGCAGGGATAAATACTAAGTGCATCTCTTGCATCTTATACATCACAACCCTGTACCTTATATGAGAACCTTTATCACACTAATCTTCACACACAGCAATAGTATCATCTATACGGTTATAATCAGCGTGTCTTGGGACCGGATAAAATGAATTAAAACCCAGATTTGTAACCTTGATCGATGTGATTGTCACTTACAAATGAGACTCTGTGTTTAACCTGCGCTGTCTTTAAGGTGGAGCTGGATGCAGTCATTAATTGACCTGACTGCCACAGAGCAGCAGCCTCTGGGCCCAGTGCAGCACAGGAAAAAAAACCATCAGCTTACAGTGTCCACATTATTCAGCCATTGCTTTCTTTTTCACACCACAACACATTGCACTACGTTATCCACACGCAACCACATGAACACTGATGTCAGTTAAACACTAAACACACCTCATCTGTTCTATTCACACCTCATCTGTTCTATTCTTCATTATCATAAATGATAATGTTTTGAGTCATGGCCTATGAGCTGAGCTGCAACACAAACATCACCGAATCTGTTTATTCAGACATGTTTCCTCTCTACAAACACAAAACCTTCTTTTTATGGTTAACTTTTTTCCCCATCTTTTTTAATATGTTCCTCTGATAATATGAAAATGAATATTTGTGGGTTTGGGACTGCTGCTTTTCACAAAGCAAGTAGCACTGAGTCAAATATTCTAGACAGGGTAACATGCATAGAAGTTATTCCACATGTGGTTGGTTGTAAGGGTTCAGGTCTCACAGAATGTCCCTGTATGCTGTTTACCTGTGCTGTAGTGTATTGTTAAAAGATTGTTTGCCTTGAGAAAACAATGTAGAACGAGGTGTAGTGTTTGCTTATCAGCAAACACGTGCCCATTTGTTAGTCAATGATAAGGAACTATTGAATACATGTAGATATGTATGCACAGATCAGATATGTTAGTAACAGATTCATGCACTGGTTCCTGCATTAATGCTGTCCTGTGACGGGGTGTTGTAATGTTTCTGCCCAACAGTCTGTATGTGTTTCTGTTTCTGGGAGATATATTTGAGCCTCATGAGGAATTTTAAGTTCACGTGGACTTGTGGTTGACATTCCATTTTATTTATGCTAATATAAAGAGCATTTAACATGGTTATGGTTTGATTTACTTTTGTGACATGAATATTCTCAGCTATTTTAAACCCTTTCTGTGTCGTTGGATGAAAGTGCTTATCTCTGTCAGACTTAAGATAAAGCCGACATCAGATTTCTTGGAGAAATTCTCTAAAACTTAGCCACAAGTGTGTTGCTCCCTCTTTCAGCTCTTTCAACATGTCATCAGTTTTCTTGTCATCATCTTTAAATGCAAAAGATGCCCCTGTGTGTGAAAGTGTCTGTACCATAGCTCTGTATGCATTTCTGTACATGTAGAGGAAAAGCATTATGTATTTAAACTTGTGAGTTGGACACTTTTCCAGTGCACAATAAAATGAAAAATTGTCGTCTGCCACACAACTTCATTGTTGTGTCACTTTCAATGCTGCTGCTGCAATGAATTGTGGGACGGCATTGATTCCTTTTCTTTGTGCGGTCGAATAGTGTTTTTTGCTTAGTGCTGGTCCTTCCTGTGTGAAATGACCTGGAGGTATTTCAGCCATTATAAGATCTGTTTGGATTCTCAAAGGGAGCTTCGATGCTTCCTAACTTATCTTAATTTGTTTCGCCCACTTTTAAAACTGTGAAGAATCCCTCTTTTCATTAACAGGCCTCCTGCTCCCTCCTCTGGCTCCACCTACAGAAGCCTCACAGGAAGCCAGCTCCTTCTGAACTAAGAGACCTGGCGGGCCACCTGGTGGGGGACTCATCCTTTCAGGTCTGTACTGTGCACATGACCATCATGAGTTTACCTTGTCTGATGGTCCCACAGTGAGCAGATTTGATAATTGTGTTGATGTTTATGCAATGGATAAGTCTTTTACTTTAGCTGGAGGATGGATGGATGTTGTTTCATATTATATTGTATGTCTTGTGTCAGAAACCATTCCAAATGAATCCTAGTTCATTTAATGGATTGGAAAGTTTAAGTGGATGCTAATCTGTCTGAGTGACACACCGCTGAGTGTATTATTCCTGGAACTACAATATTAAAGGACAACAGTGCTCATCCAGAACTTTAGAATGAATCAAATGTAGGCCTGATAAGTTACAGTACTTTGAGGAAGCTAGTAGAATTGTAACTTTACTCATTAAAGTTTTAACAGGTAAAGTGTTAATCCATAACCTTATACATTTTAAAGTTACCTGATCTACATATCAATAAACTTAAACATATGAAGTTCCCCATGTCAAGTCAGCTGAAAAGAGAAATACTCTGGTTTAAAAATCATCTGTGCCCACAGATAAGTGAATCATAGGAAGCTGACACTCACACACTTAATAAGTGTCTCAGTATGATTCATCATTTTTTATGTATTTGTCATAAAACCATAACAGGGCTCACTGTTTTATTTTCAGTAAGTAGGTCAAATACCGCCCTCTAGTGGTGAACATGATATAATATATGCAATGGCCACATCACATCCATCAATTAAAGAGTTATAAGGGTCAAGCTAACATTATATTTCTTGCTGACAGCAGATATCTGAAGAAAAAATATGAACTTCACATTGGAAGATGTTCTGTGCAGATTCTGTACCAGAACCTGGAGTTACAAGTAAAACTGAGACACCTGCTGATGTTTTCAATAACACGATTTCAAAAGAACTTCGTCTAAAACAGATCCAAGGTGCGTTCAGGTTGGATCAGTAAAGTGGTGTTTTCACATGGAGAGCTTAAACTTCCACAGCCCTGGAATCATCATCATAAACGATATTAAGAAAATTGCGCCAATAAAAATAGATTCATCTCAAAAGTTGATAATTGACAAAAATCTCACAGCGTTGTTAATTCATATATGATTGCCTGCCCACCATGGACACGCCTTCCACTGCTCCTCCTCAGTTTATCAGCTTTCAACATGGCAATGAAAACTATTGTTATGTCCAACGACTGGATGATGGAAGGAGGCTCAGGTACATACAGGATCCCTAAATATGTCCTTTTATACAAGTGTTAAAAAAAAGAAAAAAAAAAAAAAAGCCACATTTGAGAGCACATGCAGTGAAACACACCCTGAGTTAACGTGATGATGTAAGAGCACAGGAGGTCGACGCACTGCAGGGCCAAACCTCGGGGGCTTTCATCGCTGTGGCACATTACACCTGTTACCCTCTGCATATGC